CAAACGACAAACAAGCAACGGTCTATGAAAAAACCAGTAAGCTAGACAAACTATAAGACGATAGACAACGTGCGAAACTAAAAAAAATAGCATGAAATGTTAAAGAATCAAATTTTTTGTTTTTTAATAAATTTTAGTTTTTTTATCTATCACTTATTCAAAAAAATATTTTTTAGTTTTTATATTTTTCTTTAGAATGTTAAATTTTTATTAAAACTATTTTTCCTTTTTTTAACATATAGTTTTCAAGTCAACATATAGTTTAAAACTGTTAAAAATGTTTTATTTTATATTAAAAACAATTATTATAAGTTTTAATGTTTCATTTTATTTTAAGATGTCTTTCAAAATTTAAGTTTTTTTTTATTTTACCTTCAAAAACAATCTGAATCAAAATATTTTATTCTAATTATATTATATTATATATGATAAGTGTTTTTTTTGTATTAGATTATCATTTTCTTTTCATCATTACGATTTTTTATTTTACCAGTAACCTTTATTGTGTGTCTTCGTAAACTTTATAGTGCTACTTCATCCTAAACATCAATGTGCATAGCTTGATAAATTTCAATAGCTTAACATTTTTAGGTAAAGTATATTTGTGCAAAATTAATTTAGATTTTATAAAGTAGTCCATGCGTTATAAGGGTTTTTTGAATCTTGAGGTCTGCATGAACACCATCTGGCCATCTTTATAACTTTTTTTCATCTGCTTTGGCATTGATCTGTGATAATATTCTCAAGCACAAAAATTATGCTTTAGCAGTTGTGGAATGCATTTAAGATGAAAAAAAATTAAACACAATTTATAATAAATATTGGTTGATCTATATTTATATACAAGCTATAATTTGTCATCAAGCTTGATTGACCAATATAAAATTAGTCAAACATTCTAGTGCGGTTTCATAAACAAGACCAGTTTTATAATGAGGCAAAAAAATTTATTATTAATTACAATAAAATTATAACATAATATATATACATAAATCAAAATAAAATTTCTAAATTTTATAAACATTTAGGACAAAATATGATTGATTCTTATAATTTTTTATTATATCTCAAGTAATTTAGGATAAGTTATCCACATAATTACCAAAGATAAAATATAAATTATAATTAAATTAGTGGTATGAAGTATCTTGGGGTTTAGCAAACTCCACTAACACTCGCTTTACTATTATTTAAATAATATCTAGACATCATTAATGTTTGTAAAACTCAAGAATGTTTGTAAAGTCACAAATTAAGATGGTTCAAAATTTGCTAAAAATTATATGTCTTACTAATATTTTCATTTGATATAAAAATTTGATAATAGTTAATTATTTCAAAATATTTTTAGCATATGACAATTTAAGATCTATTTTAGGGTAAATTTATATATCCTAGTGTCTTAAATTCAAAAATGGTATCCACTTATCAATTTACCCAGTCTTTTCTCTTTCACTACCAATCACCAAAGAGGTTTCAAATGGTTTACCACTCATTTCAAATACCAAAAAATTTAAACTAAACTCAAGTTAAAGATAATGAATAATAAATAATAGATAGCCGTATTAATTTATACTAGACACTAGGGTTTTGGAACTATTTTTCTAATATCAAAAACTTTTTACTAGGCTTAAAACAAAGTTTGTTAAATTTTTTCAAATTTTTATTAACCTCGAGGATTGAACTAGAATGACAGTGACAACTTAAGACCCAAACTCTCTACTGGCCACAAACATAAATATATTTTTTTTAAATATCTACATTTAACACAAAGAATTATAAAAAATAATGCAATAGAAATCTCTATATGAAACAAAAAGTTTTAGAAAATCTTTCTAATATCAATAACTTTTAACAAGCCTCATAACAAGGTTTTCAAAAATTTTCATGTTTATTTCGTCGTTGAATGAGATAGAATAGCTGTGCGAATTTAATACTAGTCCCAATGGGTTTAGAACTTCTTTCAAATATCAAGAAACTTTTACTTAGCTCAAAACATAAATATACATTTTTTTTGATATTTCTACATTTTCCTCATGGGTTAAAAAATAAAGGCACTAGAAATTTCTTTCTGAACCCAATTGTAACTTTTAACTAGGCTTGAAAAAAAGTAAAAAAAATTTCATAATTATTTATCCTCTTGGAATAAAATATAATGCCTGTGCCAACTTAATACAAAACCCAGAGGTTTTAGAACATCTTATTAATATTTTAACTAGGCATGAAATAATTTTTTTTTAATTTTCGTATTTATTTTTTCCTTGTCGAGTAAAATATAATGGCAGTGCTAATTTAATATTAGATCCAAAGTTTTAGAATATATTTCTAGTATTAAAATTTTATAACTAGGCTTAAAACAAAGGTTTAAGAAATTCTCATAATTATTTTTTCTCGTGGAGTAAAATATAATGACAATGCCAATTTATTACTAGACCCAAAGGTTTTAGAACTCAAAAACTTTTAACTAAGCTTAAAATAAATTTTTTTTTAAAAATTTACTTTATTTTTTCCTCATGGGATAAAATATAATAGCAGTGCCAGCTGTGCCAATTTATTAGTAGACCTAAAGGTTTTAGAACATCTTTCTAATATCAAAAACTTATAACTAGGCTTAAAATAAAGTTTTAGAACATCTTTCTAGAATCAAAATTTTTTATTATGTTTAAAATAAAGTTTTATTAAAGATGATTTCATAATTTTTTTTCCTCGTGAAATAAAATATAAGGGCAGTGCAAATTTATCTAAACACAAAGATTTTAAAACATCTTTTTATTAAAAAACTTTTAACTAGACTTAAAACAAATTTTTTTTAAAAAAGCATAATTTTTTTTTCTCGTAGAAAAATATAAGGGTAGTGCCAATTTATTACTATACACAAAGGTTTTACAACATTTTTAGTAATAAAATCTTTTAACTAGACTTTTAAAACAAATTTTTTAAAATTTTTCATAATTTTTTTCATCGTGGAATAAAATATAGAGGCATACCAATTTATTACTATACCCAAAGGTTTTAGAACATCTTTCTAGTATCAAAACTTTTAACTTGGCTCAAAGTAAATTTTAAAAAAAATTTCACATTGATTTTTTCCTCGTCGAGCAAACTATAATTGCCGTGCAAATTTATTACTAGACCCAAAGGTTTTAGAACATTTCTAGTTTCATAAACTTAATACTAGTCTTAAAACAAAATTATCTTTTTAGTATCAAAAACTTTTAACAAGGATTAAACAAAATTTTAAAAAAAATATCTTAATTTTTTTTTCCCTCTTGGAGTAAAATAGAATAGTAGTGTCTATTTATTACTAAGCCCAATGGTTTAAGAACTTTCTACTATCAAACATTTAACTAGACTTAAAACAAAGGGGAGATGATATAGCAAGAAATAAAAGTTATATTTTTTCTTATTTATACGCATTTTCCGAATCGATAAAAAAGTTACGAAAATTTAACGAATCATTTAAAATTTGTATTTATAATAAAATGGATGTATAAATAATATCGTGGACGAAATTTAGTAAACTATAAAGCAATATAAAAATTTAAAATACATAAATCTTTATATATCAGATTTTAGATTGTCACCAAAAAGTACTACCATAGTAATACCTTACTTATTTCCCAATATTTAGTAAACTATAAAGCAATATAAAAATTTAAAATACATAAATCTTTATATATCAGATTTTAGAATGTTACCAAAAAGTACTACCATAGTAATACCTTTTTAAAATACATAAATCTTTATATATCAGATTTTAGAATGTCACCAAAAAGTAGTACCATAGTAATACCTTTTTAAAATACATAAATCTTTATATACCAGATTTTAGAATGTCAGCAAAAAGTACTACCATAGTAATACCTTACTTATTTCCCAATATTTAGTAAACTATAAAGCAATATAAAAATATAAAATACATAAATCTTTATATATCAGATTTTAGAATGTCACCAAAAAGTACTACCATAGTAATACCTTTTTAAAATACATAAATCTTTATATATCAGATTTTAGAATGTCACCAAAAAGTACTACCATAGTAATACCTTTTTAAAATACACAAATCTCTATATATCAGATTTAGAATGTCACAAAAAAGTACTACCATAGTAATACCTTTTTTAAATACATAAATCTTTATATATCAGATTTTAGAATGTCACCAAAAAGTACTACTATAGTAATACCTTTTTAAAATACATAAATCTTTATATATCAGATTTTAGAATGTCACCAAAAAGTACTACCATAGTAATACCTTACTTATTTCCCAATATTTAGTAAACTATAAAGCAATATAAAAATTTAAAATACATAAATCTTTATATATCAGATTTTAGAATGTCACCAAAAGTACTACCATAGTAATACCTTTTTAAAATACATAAATCTTTATATATCAGATTTTAGAATGTCACCAAAGAATACTACCATAGTAATACCTTTTTAAAATACATAAATCTTTATATATCAGATTTTAGGATGTCACCAAAAAGTACTACCATAGTAATACCTTACTTATTTCCCAATATTTAGTAAACTATAAAGCAATATAAAAATATAAAATTTAAAATACATAAATCTTTATATATCAGATTTTAGAATGTCATCAAAAAGTACTACCATAGTATAACCTTTTTAAAATACATAAATCTTTATATATCAGATTTTAGAATGTAACCAAAAAGTACTACCATAGTAATACCTTACTTATTTCCCAATATTTAGTAAACTATAAAACAATTTAAAAATTTAAATTACATAAATCTTAAGATGGCTATGAATTAGGAAATTTAGAATGATTGAGTAAAGAATAAATCTTACCTTGTGCTTCAAATTTACAAACAATCATTCATTTTTTATATAAATTTTTTTATTGAATTTATGTTGAAATTTATAAATTATATTGTATGTCTTATTTTAAAGGTTACCTGGGAACATTAAGGTTCTATGTTGAAATTTATAAATTATATTGTATGTCTTATTTTAAAGGTTACCTGGGAACATTAAGGTTCATACCTTGTGATGACTTATTCTATAAAATTGACACACAACAATCCCTAACAAGCTTCAAATCTACAAACAATTGCTCATTTTTTATATAATTTTTTTTATTGAATTTATGTTGAAATTTATAAATTATAATGTATGTTTTATTTTAAAGGTTACTTGGAAACATTAAAGATCTTACCTTGTGATGACTTATTCTATAAAATTGACACACAACAATCCCTAGCAAGCTTCAAATTTACAAACAATTACTCATTTTTTATATAAATTTTTTTATTTAATTTGTTGAAATTTATAAATTATATCTTTTGATATTATTTTTTTAAATAGGTTTAAAAAATAAATTTCTCTTAATGAGCTCCCATAATGTTGTTAATTAATTTACCTAAATTAATTTAATTTTAAAAATTTATGATTGGACATTTTTAATCATTTTATAAATGATTGTATTAACTTCAATAATATATTTCAATTTAATGAATAAAATTTAATTAATACTATATTTCGTGTATAAATTATAATACTATATTTAATTGCTCATTTAATACTATATTTCGATTTAACCCTTCACTAGAAATGTTAAAAATCACTTAAACTTCAAAGGTGGGGTCTATTAAAATTAAATTTGTAGGCAAAATTCTCCTAAAAATAACTTAAATATTATACCACAAAAATAATTAAATTTGTATGCAAAATCTCCTAAAAATAACTTAAATATTTTACCACAAAAAAAATTAAATTTGTAGGCAAAATTCACCTAAAATATGCGGAATTAATAATTCCTATATTTTACCACAAAAAAATTAAATTTCTAGGAAAAATTCTCCAAAAAATAACTTAAATATGCGCAATTAATAATTCCTATATTTTACCATTAAAAATTTATAGGCAAAAATAAAAAATTTTAAAAAAAACCATAAAAGTATTATACCCCCCCCCCCCCCGACAGTGTTAACACTTTATTAAAACTTATTTGGTGACAATTTTTTTTATTTAAAAAAATGATATTCATGTTATATACTAAATTTTTTATATAGTCATTTTTGAGTTGATGATTTAAAAAAAGAGGATTAATTCAGATTTTAAAAAAATCTTCAAATTTATTTTTAGAATGTAAAAATTGTATTAGCAATACAAATTAATCAAAGTAAAATAATAATTGGGATGATTATATGGTGTTGGTGTTGTAATGAAATGTATATAAAAATGGTATGATTAAAAAAGATATCTTTGTAGTCTATATATCTATTTATAATATTTTAAAATAGGATAAATAAAAAAAAATATGCATAAAAACAAGACAAATACAATCAACTAAAATACTTTTGGTAAAAAATATAAAATATATTTGTAATTAATCTTTAAAATAAATAACATTTACAAAATGGGATTCAGAATTGTTAATATAAATGTTTTGGTCAAATTTTTTTATATTTCCATCATCATATTTAAATGGTGGATACATTTGCAAAATGAAGCTCCATACCTAGCATACACCAATATCGGGGTATTGAGAAGTGTGGCAACACTTCGCAATTCTATATCCGTTGCCCATTCACCATTCTTACTTGCCTTTTCTATTATATACTGTTGCACATCATCTTCACACGTATTTTGACCTTGAGTATAATCTAATATATTTTTTATCATTATTTTTTTGCAGCATCAGCAAGACCATATGTGATCTAATCAAACCATAGGAGTCTTGTTTTCCTGTTATCTCCATACTTATACATCTAATTATTTTTTAAAAAATTTAATTATGTTACTGTTTCTAAAAACCTATCAATGTTTTAAAAAAATAATATTATGAATTAATATAGGATATAATCATTAAAATTCAAGGTAAAGAAAGAAACAAAACCATATTCTATGTATAAAAAAAAATACAAACAAAATTATTTTTAAATTACCTGTAAAAACAATTCCCATCTAGCTCAATTGTTTCCAATCGTGATGGAGCAGTTAGCAGCACCCTTCCTATATTTTGAGAGACTTTCTTTTTTGCTGACGCTAAATTTAAGCGATTAGCATGATATTTCCTCCAAATATTGGTAGTTGGATTATAAAAATGTTTAAATGTATGTTGAATGATTTTAACGAGTGGGTCATCTATGGCTTTAAATATTTAAAAAAATTAAATTAATTATAATATTTAAGAATTACAATTAACTGTATATAATTATAAAATTACAATTTTTGAACTTTGAGTCTGATTATACAAAGTCTACTAAGTCCACTTGAAGATCCTTCAAAAGGTGTAAAGAAGATTTTTTATAATCTAAAAAAGTTAAAAAATTTGTCTTTTCAACAATTTACCTTTGGTATCAACTATTTTTGGGTCAAAAAAGTTTTGGGAATTAAGGTCTTGTTGAAATTTTAACTTTTTATCTATATGATTTTCTTTGGATTTGTATGCCTTTTCTATATAATATACTATTAACAATAAATAAAGTCAATGTACTTTTTTGTGAATCCAATATTGTAAATCCTAATGGTCTCCAGCTTTTTTTTTAATTTCTTAGGTAATTGAATTTCTTTTATGTTATTATTTATACCTTCATTTTCTTGACTATTATAAACATCTTTTTTTAAAAAAATTGGGACATTATTTTTATTTTACTGTATATTAGGATCCACGTTTGAGTGTGCAAAATCCTCATTTAATACAATTGCTATACTATCATTGGAGAATATCTGACCATTATTTTCATTTGAGCTTGTATTGAAATTATTTGAGGAAATAATTGGTAATATGCCTTTCATAGCAAAATCATGTAGTTTGTCAAAATCCTGAGCAAACCCATGTTTCAAATTATGTGGTAATAATGATATGGTGTGAAAAAGCATATTTTGATTTTTAAAATAATTATAGGATGAAATTTGGTCATTAAAAAGGTTTATTTTGTATTTAATCCCCTTTTTGTTATTTAATATATCTATATTATTATTGATAAATGTCGATGGATTTTTAAAATAATTTTTGTGCCACCTTTGATGACATAATTTTTCATCGTAAAGATCACTATTATTTTTTTTCCTTTCCATAAATACATGTCTGCATGGTAATTGGATATTTTAAAAAAGGGGCAATCACAATAAAACATATTTGATTGGCAAACAAGATTGCAGATATCACCAACATTATATTCATATTTTAACTCTTTGTATGCATATTCTGTTAACAATTTTCTATAATTAGCCAATGTTTGATCTTCCTCATTTATAAATGAGATTTTAATTTTTTTCATTAAATTATCATGTTCCCTTTCAGCACTTAACATTTTAATTGACATAATTAAATCAGTAAACATATTTGGAAGGGTAGAGTATTTGGTTATGTTAATTTTTAAATATTTGTTAATGCTCTCTACCCTGTTATTTGTATATTGTTTAAAGTTTAAATGATATCTTTTCCAAGCATCGGACTATTCATATCTGATATGATGCCAGACAGAAAAATTGTTATTTAATGATTCTAAATTAGTTAATTTGTGATAATTTTCAAAATATATGTCAGAAGACTGTGCATCTAGCATGCTATACAACAGATGCTTCACATTATTAATCATATCATTAGGAATATTCCTTTTTTTGTGGGTAACTTCCCTATCCCAAGCTCTGGTTACATGTTTCCTACATAATTCCAATTGAACATGAGGGAATGCCCAATGTAAGCTTTTCTCCCAGCACAATCTTTATCACTAACAATGACCTTTATATCTGTCCAAGCTGAATTCAGTTTTTTAAAAATTTGAAGCATTTGTGATGCTACATCAAATGACTCCGATTTGACAATCCATACACATATAATATGTGATCTATTATTTCCATCAATTGATACCAAAATATACACAGGCATATGCCTATTATTTAATCGATATGTTGCATCCACACATATTACTTCAGGATATTTTGAAAAAATATACTGCATTTGATGAGTTTGATAATATATACCAATTAGATTCCCATCTACAGTATATAATTCCATATTAGTATCATTATCTTCTTTAACTTTATCTATCATTGTAATTAAATCATTATCATAAGTTTTTTTTGTATTTTTGTCTATATTATGCAAATCTCTTAGGGTTATAAACTTTCCTTCAGAAAATAGTTTATTTTTTATTTTGGATTTATTTCCTCCTGTAGTTATAGCTTCAACTACAAATTTATACTGTGCTTCATTAAGCTTTCTTTGTCTGGGTAATGATTGGTATTCATCTAAAATTAATCAAAAAATGCATTTTTCATTTGTTTTAAAAACATTATTTCATACTTTTATCTTATATATATTCTATCAAAATTTAATAAATTAACCCTATAAGCCTATCCAGTATCCATATCACTGAGTTAAATTATATATTTAACTTAATAATTTCAAGATTATGTGCCTTTACCATGGGGATGATTGTGATTTTCATGCATATCCTTGACAAATAATTTGTTTTTCATGAATGTAATTTGCAAATAAAATTGACATCCTTGTTTTATAGACATATAATTGCGTAGACCTGTGGATTTTGTATTGTACTTTCCACCAAATATACAAAGAAATTTTATGCTTCTATATCTAAATTTTTCAAAAAGAGACGATTTTAAAATTTTTGAATCTGATATATAAAGATTTATGTAATTTAAATTTTCATATTGCTTTATAGCATCTTGTAAATCTTTATAGGATAAAAATATATCTCCTTCTTTCATATTTATGATATTACTATGGTAGTACTTTTTGGTGACATTCTAAAATCTGATATATAAAGATTTATGTTTTTTATAGTACTTTTTGGTGACATTCTAAAATCTGATATATAAAGATTTATGTATTTTAAGTTTTTATATTGCTTTATAGTTTACTAAATATTGGGAAATAAGTAAGGTATTACTATAGGAGTACTTTTTGGTGACATTCTAAAATCTGATATATAAAGATTTATGTATTTTAAATTTTTATATTGCTTTATAGTTTACTAAATTTCGTCCACGATATTATTTATACATCCATCTTATTATAAATACAAATTTTAAATGATTCGTTAAATTTTCGTAACTTTTTTATCGATTCGGAAAATGCGTATAAATAAGAAAAAATATAACTTTTATTTCTTGCTAATACGCCATTTGGCGTAAGTCTATCATCTCCCCTAATTTATTACTTAATTTTAGAACATCTTTCTAATATCATAAACTATAAACCTGGATAAAAACAAAGTTTAATTTTCTATAATGTTGATACAGCAAGCCGACCCATCGGGCTGGCCCAGCAAGCCAATCTATAAGGCCCATTGGGCCTACCCAGCAATTCAACTCATCGGGCCGACATCCCATTTGGTTCGGTCGGGTCTGATCTATGGCTAAATGGGTTGGCTCGAGTTTAAGGTCGTTGTTTTCGGCTTAAACCTGGCTGGGTTTTCGGCCAAGCCGATCTAACCTAACAATTTTACAACATTAGCTTCCATACATTAAATTTTATTATACTATTTAAAAAAATTTAGTAAGATTGAAAATAAATTATAAATAATGCCTCTAGAAAGCATCAAGCAGTACCGTTTAATGAATTGAAAACGAAAGTTAAATGACTTGAAACTAATAAAATTATTTTTTCATTTTAGAAATTCTTTATTCAAAAGTAAAATTTGTTTAAGAATTTGAAAACTCAATTTGGCAAGATGCAAAAAACAAATCTGCCAAAGATTCAATTTAAATAAATGTGAAACGATAATGTCCATATTAATGGACCTTCGATTTCGGAGTGGATTTCAGATCTATATATTAAATTATGGAAATCGTGGGACGAGCAAAATCTTACAAAATAACAGACTTAAGAAAACTAAGAAATGAAAATAGTAATTATATACTTATCTATATATTTTTAAATCTGTATAGATGGTGGTATTAAATTTGATACATTATTTTATAAAATATCATATGAATAATCAATTTAGATATATTCGTAATAAAAAAAAAATTCAATTTCATATGTGTCTAATTTGTGGAGAATATATAAAAATTGCAGTCCCCTTGTAAAATTTTTGAACAATACACCACTATCTTAAATTTCATTTTATGTAATACTAGTGAGAAAATATTCAATATTATATCAGATATACTTTTTATTTTAATTAAATTATATGCGATTGCTGACATATTTTATATGTCATTTAAGTATCCATACATTTTTGATTTTTGTAATTAAAAAATAAAATTAAATATTTTCATTTGGCAAATAGATCTAGTTTGTATCTCACATTTTTTTTCAAAATATAAAAATAGTTGCAACATATTTTTCTATGTCTAAACGGAGGATAGATATTGTAGGTGGTAGTGTTTCCAAAAAAAGGTTAATCTTATTTATCAAATCAAGTTTTAAATTAAAAACAATTTATTTTATAAATATAAATGATATACATTTATCCATTTATAGAAGTGATGAAAATATGACCAATGGTTCTAAAGATTTTGCTGAGATGGCCAGACTTGCTGCTGCTAACATAAATCAGTTGATTACTGATCCAAGAAAAGATGTTTTTTATAAATTACTATCTTGATATGGTGTTATAATTTCTAAAATATGTTTATTGTTTTTATTTTTAGAACATTATCAATCCATACACAAACCGTGCTTATTCTCAACGTTACCAAGATTTACTTAAGAAACGTAGAACTTTGCCAGTCTGGGAATATAAAGATAGGTTTATAGAAACTTTGGACAAAAATAAAATTTTGGTTTTGGTTGGAGAAACTGGAAGTGGAAAAACAACACAAGTATATTTCATATTTTAAATAACATTTTGATTGATTAAATAATATATATATGATAATCCTTGCTTTTTTTATAATTGTAAAATATTTGTTAATACACAAGATATAATATATAATTAAGCTGTGCTGATATTAATTATTAGATTGGATTGAGGCTTATATTTAGTCTTATTAAAAATATATTAGGTCAATATTTTTACAGGCATTTTTATTTATCTGGGCTATTTACGATTTTATGTAATATTTTACATTTTGTTTATAATTTCATAAAGGAATCAAAATTTAATTTATTTGTGTTTTTTTTAAAAAAATTTTTTTTTATATTATCATCAACAAGAAAATCATTTAAACTAGAGGTTGTAATAATTGACCTGCTTTGATTCTATATTGCGCATTTGTAGAAAGAACATATGATAAATAAATTGTTTAATTTTTTGAGATTACAAATTTATTTATAGATTTAGTGTTTTAGTCACTCTTAAAATGCAAAGAAATAAGCATGTTTATTTTCAAATATATAAATCAAAATATTAGCGGAGATTTAAAATAAATATATAAATATTTTAATGCTTGAGCTGGCCTATCAAGATTTTACAAATATCAGAAATTTGTGAGGCCATTTTTGATATTTTATTTAAAAATTTTCCCTCCAAGCCCAAAATTTTTTACCAACAAATTGCCGCCAATTGTAATTTTTCATAATTAGTTTGCAAATCTCTAATTTAAACATCTAACAAGTCACAAATGTTGTTAAAAGATTTTATTTTACCAATTTTTGAAGAAGATTAATTTGATCTTAACCAAAAGAAAATTACCCAAGTTTGGACCTTTTGCTCATGGATGACAGAAAGGTTTAAACATCTATCAGTGAAATTTCAAGGCTTATGTAACTATTTTATGGCTAACATTTTTAATCAAGGCATTTAACAACACTACATTCAGCCGTAAACTTTGCCCATATTTTAATTGAGTTGATTAACTTTTGGAAAATAAAAAAACAAAATATTCTTGATTTTTTATAAAGTTAGTTGGTTTTTTATTATTATTAAGTATTGTTTATTTTAATCAGTTTTATGGTAATATCTGAAAATATTAGATTAGCGAAAAATTTGTGGATCAGCACAGCATTTGATATATCCATTTTATGATATATTATACAAACAAAACAGATCCCACAATGGTGTCTTGAATACCTCCGTGGCAAAAGATTGACAGAAATGGGTCCAGGTAAAAAGGGGGTAGCTTGCACCCAACCCAGGAGAGTGGCAGCAATGAGTGTGGCCCAAAGAGTGAGTGAGGAGATGGATTGTGTTCTAGGACAAGAAGTTGGTTATACTATAAGATTTGAAGACTGCACTTGTGCTCGTACCCTTTTAAAGTAATCTTTCCGAAATCTTAAAAAAATATATTAAGTGTGTAAAATTAAAGTTATTGAAAATCTTTTAACACTGGGAGAATAAGGAGACAATGAATAGCCTTTTTAAATTGTAATCCTCATTTATATTTAAAAAAATTTAAGAAATTTTTTAAATTCATTCTAAAACCAAAAAAGCTAAAAGGAATTTATTATCTTACACCAAAATAATTAGCCAAAAAGAAGAAATTTACTATACAAAAACAAAATTATCACAAAAATGAATTTATTATCTAAAAATAAAATTAGCAAATAAAAGCAATTTACTATCATAAAAGTAAAATAATTAAAACAAATATTACATGGAGTATTAGTTATAAGCATCTCTATTATTTATTTTTAAAATTAAAGTAATATTTTTTTTAAATATAATTTTAGAGAATTTGTAGTTTTAAAATCTTATAAGATAGGTATAATCCTTATATCATTTTCTTATTTTTTTGGAGTTTTATTTACTCTAGTCTTTGATGGATGATAAAATTTGTTTAAATAAAAAATAATTAAAATTTTTCAATCAGTTAACTTTAAAAAAATTCTTTTACATTTTTTTAATAACATTATCTTTGTAATTAAGAATTTGCTCAATGACCAAAAGGCAATTTAGACAAGCCTGCTTAAATTGCTTATTAATTTCTAATTTTTAAGAAAGTATCAGTCTTTTTATCTTATTCATTTAATTTTCAGAAATCCTATAGATTTTTTAAAATATTGCCAAATATATACCTTTCCAATTAAATTTAGTCATTTGAATAACATTTTCTTTAGGATAAAATCAATTATATATATTGTAATTTTTAAAGTTAGCATGACTATCCGGGATCTCCAACGCGTCATAAGAGGCGATAACGAAAGGGAGTGAGAATTTTAAGTTAAAGATTTGATAAGTGCGGTAATATTTTGTTTTACCGTGATAAAGAGGAATCTTATTTTAAAAGCGTTTTATGCACGTCTCGTTTTATTTCTTATTCATTTTATTATTATTCAGAAATCCTCAATATTGTTTTATTGGTCTTTAAAATAAGTTAGGTCCAACATAGGGTATCAATCGAGAGCTAATTCCAAGATCTATTCAATTTGAGGTCAATCTCTCCGCCGTAATGAACGAGTTTAGGTCTGGGGGTCAGAATATTCCCGGATAGTCATAATCCCTTTAAAATTACGATATATATTTTTTTTAAATTAGCATTATCCATTCCAACCTCATAAGAGGCGTAAGAAAGGGAGTGAAATTTTTTAAAGATTTGAAAGTGCTAATATTTTGTTTTCTAGGTCTAAATTATATAGATCTCTCATAGAAGTCATCAGTGAGTAGTTTTTTAGATCCCAAGCCCATCCAATATTTATATATATATAACCTACAGCCCATCCATGATTAACAAATCGCCCACTTACTTGTTAAAAGTAATTGGATTGGTTGGATTGTTAATATATTTTTTTACCCACTTATCACCAATATAAAATTAATCATATTTAATTTAATCCTACAATTTAAAATATCTTTAACGATAATATTTATTTAAACAATTTAACTGAGCCATTTGACATCACATTAACAATAAAATATGTACTGGATTGAATATTTTTTTAAAAAATTGTAAAGTTTTAAAGAAATTATATTTTCATTTTTTGTTAATTTTTTTAAAAATGCTATATAATCCAAGAAATGAAGTATTTGAATATACTTTTTAACACTTCCTAGGTACATGACAGATGGTATGTTATTGAGAGAAGGTATGAGTGACCCCTTGTTAGAAAGTTATGGCGTTATAATACTCGATGAAGCCCACGAGAGAACACTCGCCACCGACATTCTCATGGGTCTTTTGAAGGAAATTTCGAGTCAAAGGTCCTCGGATTTAAAGATCGTTGTTATGAGCGCCACATTGGATGCTGGAAAATTTCAAGTTTTACTTGATTAGATAGTTAATTTTTTTATATTGTTAAAATGAGGAAATTTAATACAGAAAAATGGGATTTTATATGAATAATTAAAAAAGTAAAAGAAAAATAAATGACTATGAATAGTTAAAAGTTAAAAATTAATTGATCAGAGAAGAGCCAAAGAAATTTATTTTGCAGGGTAAAATGGTATATTTGTTATTAAACATTAAAAAAGTAAAATAATGTGTGTTTATTTTTTGCATATATTTTAAAAGCTTCATTAATATATAACAAAACAAACACTAAAAAAATAATGGTATAAATTTTATTGTAATTTTTTTGCATTTGCAATTTTTATATAATTTAAATTTTTTCATAAAATACAATATAATATTTTTTTCAAATGTTTAATATATGACAAATTTTATCTAGTAACCCAAATAATACAAATTCATTTTCATCGATTCCTGATTCTTTTTTTATCTAATTCAATACCTAATATATCATCTACAAATAATTTCCATATGATAAATTCCCTCTCTTTAAGTGATGATTCTATTATCGATCCAATAAATTGAATCTTGGCAATTTCAGGGAATATAAAAACTGGAATAAGGAAAAGAAAGATATAGCAAAAAAATTATTTTCTTTACTCTAGAGAGAGCGAATGAAAATGAAAGATATCGCAAAGTATATAGATATGTCTTTATCATCTATAAATAAATTAAGATGTGAAACATTTTCCGAAATCATTGGAGACCCTCTGAAAGATTATGTAATTGGAAGAGAGGTAGGAAAAAAGACACCTTCAATACAGAAAGAAAAATTATGGATCTTTTAATAGCCAACAATATATTCATGATTAAAGTTAATATAGAAAATACCTCTGGGATTTCCTAAAAGCGAAGGAACTATAAGAAAATATATTTTATAAAATAGGATAGTCCAAAAAACATACTGGAAAAGAACGTGATAGGAGAACTGGGTGCTATCAATATACGCCAAAGGAGATTGGTTATTGAGTACAAACAATGAATTAAGGTAAATTTGTAAAAATTTTATGTTGAAATATATTTTAAGGGAATATGTAGAAAAGCGGAATAAAGAAAAATCAAAATATCAAATTTTTTAAAATTATAATGTATTTTTTACATCTGTTTTGTTATATAATGTATATTGGTTTGTAAGTATCATGAAAATATATAAATAAACATTGTTTTATTTTTTAGATGCTTTATATTACAAATATACTACTCTACCCTGTAATAAGTCTAAAATAATTTTTAGGTTAAATATTTCACCTATTTATGAAATTTTATTTAATACACATGTAAATATATGCAAGATATATAATTTTTCAAAAAGATATAATATAAAAATAATTTTTTATAGTTTATAAATTCATAAATAAATGAATATAAAAAATTAAATATAAATATTAAACAATTTTTATAATAATAATATATAATAAGAAAATAAAGTAACAAAAAAAATCCGCAAGATAGAGAATTTATTTAATTTGTATATTTTTTTATAACAAAAATAGCAGTTTAATTTACAACAGAATATGAATATATATTTTATAATATAAATTTAAAATTCATGTAAAAGTTTTTTAATTTTTTTGGAAGAATAAATCACAAAATGAAAGAAAAATTAAAAATAATCCCATATTTCATGAAAATAAAAAGTTCATAAAAAAGGAAGCTATGTTTTATATAATGAAAAAAAATTATTGGCCTAAAACTCTTATATTTTTATTTAATTTATTTTTAAATTTAAGCTTTCTTTTTTTCTCAAAATAATGAAATAAAATTTTTTTATATCTTTCTCACAAAATGATGAAATAAAATGTTTTTATATCTAAGAACAATGGGTTCAATAAATATTTGCAAATTACTAAGGGTTCCTAATTCCTGATCTAGAATTGTTTAAAAAATTATCTTAACTGTGGGGTCCACTTACTTTTTATTGTTAATTGGAAACTTAGATAATTTAAAAAAAATATTATCATTTTGATTTAAAGCCATATCCTATTTTATATAATAATAAAGTAATCAGGAATAAATATAATAGAAAAAAAGGCAATTGGAGATATTAACATTTTATCTGTAAATTAAAAAATAGTAAAAATAATGTTAAAAGAAAATATATTAATTAAAATTAAATTTTTACTTATGATGATATAAAAATATATTAGAGGCAATGTATTATTTTTCTAACATTTTTTACTTTTTTTGAATTTAAATTGATGATTTTATCCTAAATTTATTGGTTTGGAATACCTACTTTATGAATATTAGATAATTTTGTAAAGAATTATTATAATTTATATTCGTTTTTCCATATATTTTTTGTATGAATTAAAATGACTCGGTTAATGGCAAAATTGTCTGGTATTCATAAGATATGTATTCTAAGCATGGAAAACATTTCCAGTAAAATCCGATTTTTAAATTTAAAAAATTCGTTCATAAAATGATTTAAAGTTGAAAAAATAACACAGTGTCGAAAAAAACACATTACTACTGATAAATTAAAATACGATAATTTGTAGATGTTGGTTAAAAAGATTCATAAAATGTCCAATGCAGATACATGAGTATTTGCACGAGTCCATTTACTTAAAAGAGCATTTTTGTTAATTGGGAACTTAAATAATTTAAAAATATTAATCATTTTGATTCAAAGCCTCATCCTATTTTCATTAATAATAAAGTGATCAAGAATAAAAATAATAGAAACAAAAGTCAGAGATATTAAATTATGTCTGTAAAAAAATAGTAAAAAATAATATTAATTAAAATTATAGAATTATATTTTTACTCATGATATTATATATTATAATTCAGATTTTACTTAATTTTCATTATATAAATATTGTTGAAGGTTTAAGAAAATTTAAGAATGTAATTATTAGTAAAAACAATAAATTAATAAAGAAATAAAAAAAATATACATCAAAATTTCATAAATACATGAAATATTCAACTTTAAAATCATTATAAACATAGTTCTTAAAATGAATGTTGTACCTTTGAAAATGGCTGTCAAATGAGTGATGTTTTTATAACATTATAAAATTGGGCGTTGAGCAGTCTATGTTAGACTAACTATACATTTATTAAAAATGTACATCAATGAAAACAGCTGGGGACGCCATTTTGGTTACACATATCATTATTATAAATTTTAAATGAGAGGCCAATTTATTCCTATGTCTGACGCAAACTTTATTAAAGAATTGCCTGATCATCGAGATAATAAGAAAGCAAGTTATCAATTTAATAGTAGGTTTTAACATGAGAATAGTTACTATATGGGTTACCAAAATGGCGGGTCCTGCTGATTTTCATTCAACGACGCTTACAAATGCATTATTATGAATGCATTATCATATGTATTATTATATGTCAGTGTGAAAGAGAAGCAAGAGAATTAGAAAAGATTTTTTTAAACTTATAAATATTAGAAAGCAAGGTAGGAAACAAGTAGATAAAAATTAACATTGTAAAAAAAGAAACCAGAGAATTATATTTTATAAAAAAATGTATTCAATGCCTAGTCGTATTTTGACAATGCACCTCTATTGACAGTACCTGGTCGGACCCACCCGGTGGAGATATTTTACACACCAGAGCCAGAACGCGATTACCTTGAGGCCGCTATAAGGACCGTCTTACAAATCCATGTTTGTGAGGAAGGGTCTGGGGATATTTTGCTATTCCTCACGGGCCAAGAAGTTAAATGACCTTTTATATTTATTTTATTATTTTCACTCGTAATAAATATGCTCTGCCAAACTATATATATAGGATAAAATTATAGAAAAATAAGTTTTATATATTTATTAAATCTTTTTTTTTCAAAATCATTTTTAAAGGGAAATTTAAAAACCTCTTATAAATATATTAAAACAATGTAAATTAGTTGAAACATTTTAATATTAAAATTTTACTTAATTATAATTATATTTCTAATAATAACGTTCATATAAATTTAAAAAAAATTATGCACGTTTTGTAAAATTAAAAAACTTCATGAAAAAATCTTTAAATTTTTCCATTCCTAATATCTTAGCAATTTATATTGACCTTGATATTTTAAAACATTTTTTTCTCAGGAAATAGAAGACGCATGTAAACGCCTCAAAAAGGAGATCGATAACCTTGGACCAGAGATTGGAGAACTTAAGTCTATCCCCCTTTACTCAACCCTCCCTCCCAATCTACAGCAAAGAATTTTCGAGGCCCCACCCCCACCTAGGGCCAGCAATGGGGCTATAGGCCGGAAAGTAATTGTGTCGACCAATATTGCCGAAACTTCACTCACAATAGATGGGGTAGTATATGTTATAGACCCTGGGTTTAGCAAGCAAAAAGTATTATTTTTAAGAATATACTAAATGGAGCCTTTTTTGATTCTTTATAAGTATAACAAAATAAAGAGAAAAAAACATTTTTGAGGGAACTCTGATTATTTTTTCTTTTTTCTGAAGGAAGTAAATGGGTAATTTTTTGAAAATAATTAGAAATTAAAAAATCTCTCTATTTTCATACAATACGACTAAAACCCTCAGCCCAACCATCACTAGGCGGATTTGGTCAAATTACTATGTTAAATAAAAAAATGAGAAAACATTTAAAAAAAAATAAAGTAAAAAAGATCAAATAGACAAAAGGTTATTCGAATTGCGGAGTGTTATGAACTACTCCTAGTTTACCTTTTCAAGATAAGATTGTGAAGATATAATGACGAATTCAAAATTGATATTCTATTTTCGCCTAAATTTACTCAATAAATAAAATAATTAGGTTTACAACCCACGTATTCGTGTGGAGTCATTGTTAGTTTCTCCCATAAGCAAAGCTTCAAGCCAGCAGAGGGCTGGTAGGGCTGGACGTACTATGCCTGGAAAATGTTTCCGACTCTACACTGAGGTGGCCTTCAAGAAGGATATGCAAGATAATACTTACCCCGAAATTCTGAGATCGAATCTAGGTTCGGTCGTTTTGCAACTAAAGAAACTGGGTATTGACGATTTGGTGCATTTCGACTTCATGGATCCTCCTGGTAAATATAGAAAAGATAATTAATGAGAATGAGTGAATAAGAAAAGTCAAATAAATTACCTATTTTCTAACTAACTGATTAAAATAGTTTGATCCTCTAATACCAAATGAAAAAAGTGGAATTATGTTTAAAGTGATAGAAAAGTAATATAGAGATAAACAAAAACCTAACTTTACAGAGTTAAAAGGACTATTTGTAATAAATTAATATGAACAAAATTATTTGGTCCAAATATACTCATTCATAATTAGGGTTGGCCAATAAAATCAATATTTTAAAATTTACTCAATTTATTCAAAATACTTCTTAGCATTTACCGTAAAAATAATTTTATCATAATAGTTAGAATAATATAATACAATTTACAAAATAATATTTTGTTTGTTTTTTAAAATTTTATGAATTATGATATTTTTCAAGATCTAGATGTTAAAATTAAAAGATCGATTTCCAATGCCTAACTTTGACTGCATTGTAACTTTTCATGTACTCGACATTGGTATTTGAATTTAGTTGTTCTAAACGATTCCTAAATTTGAAATACACTCCATATGATGATAATACTCTCTACTGAAGCTGATTGTTTTACTGTGAATTAAATGGTCCGGCTAACCATCATTCATTTTTTTTATTTTATTGGAAAACATAATTTTATTAATTGGGTAGCTTGGAATTTTACCATGATTGAAAGTATTATAATGTTGATTTTCAGAATGGTAGGTTATAAAAGCAACATAATAATAATTAAATAATAAACTAATCTAATTTAGATATAATTAATTTTATTTTAAATTTTATCAAATAACCAAACATTTTAAAAATGCTTAGATTGTTTATTTGGTTAGTGTAATATTATGTTAGAAACAATTGATTTATCCTCAGAAAGAAAGTTAATCAAACCATATTTGTCATAATATAATTTAAAAACTAATTGCTAAAGGGGCAGAAAGGGAGAGTTTTAAAAGGGTTAATTTTTGGGACATTATAAATAATTGCCATAAAATTAATAGTTATGATTATTTTAAATTAAGGGATTAACGTATATTTTAATTTAGTTAATGCATCAGGGCCAAGGTTGCCAGATATTTTTCATTCGAAAACATGAGTTTTTCTCTTATAATAATTCATGGGGGGCTTTCCCTCCTTACCCTCTAATTTATGAGCTTTCGGCTAGCTTTTGCTCCGCCTTTGGTCGGGTTTATTGATATAGCATACACATACTTACCAACAAAATTTTTTAGACTGTATTAAATTTAATATTGATATATTATTAACAATTATTATGATGTATTATTTTCAGGGTTATATATTTGACCGATCAAATACGATTCAGTTTATTGGCCGATATTTGACTAGTCAAATTCAAATAAATGTTTTTTAAGACAATATTAATTTTATTTTGTATATAATAGGAAAATGAATCATTAATATTAATTTTCTAATATTTTTTAAATTCATTGTCATTAAATAAGTAATATTTCGCTCCTCATGACAGAGTCTTGTTCTGATTCATATTCAATATTATCATTTTCTTTTAATATATTTAAATCAATTTTGTTTTCGAGATCTTCAATCGATTTTTGTTTGTAAGAATATTAACCCAAATCGACCAATTTCTTTCTGAGGAAGAAATAGAAATGAATTGTTAATAAAATGCCCTTTCTATTAATGGACATGGTGAGCAAAGACCATTCCATTAATTTGAGGCCGGAATCTGATTGTTTCTTGTGGAAGTTACTGTTTTTCACATAATTTGCTATTAAATCTTGTGGATGTTTTTCGCATAATTTGCTATTAAACCAACCGCTTTTGTTCAGTAGCACTTTGTAAAATACCCAATTCTTATATTATATCATATACTTCTAAATTCACTACTAGTAAGATGTTCCCATTAATATTTGGGAATAAATAAGCAGCAATGTGATCCCACGTATTTATATCGTTTTTTATATTTTCAAACATAAACATATTTTAAAAAAATTTCAGAGTATTTTACCAGACCAGGTCTCGGCCAATTGACTCACTTGCTAATTTTGATTATTTTACCAAGTTAATAAATAGAGCAAATATTAATTATTTTATTTTATGGATGATTTTAAAAGAGGCAATAAAAATTTTGCAAGGGTGCCATGGAGATAGGCTGAAAGGTCTTTGCCTATTTTCTCCATGGAGAGCGAGAGTTAATATTTGAAAATATCTTCGTAATCGGAATAAAAATGTGAATATTCCTCAAATTTGATACATCAATTGTGGGTATTTTCTGTCATAGGGCTAAGATATTTCCCTACATTACCTATAATATCATAGCGTATTTCAATGTATATATTTTTTACAAACATCTTTGATTCTTTGAAATTCAAAATCTTTTCTTAATCATTATCATTACGTTGTATAATGTTTTTGGAATTACTCCTTTAAAAATTTTGTTGAATTTCTAAATTTAAAGAATTCTTAAGTTTTTTGATAAGAGCATGTATGTAAATTTATGTTATTAAAGTGCTAACGTTAAGGACATGGCCTAAATATGCCTCTTAATTAAACATTGACCAATGAGTATGAATGGTTGGAACAAATACTATAATTTTTTAAATATTTGAAAATAAAATTATTTAAAACTTTCTATTTGTTTTTTAAAATTTTTTGAAAAAAAATTAAAAACATGAGAAAAAGTTTGATTATTTTAATTTTCTCAAAAAACTTGAAAAAAGCGATTGAGTAAATAAATGTGATATTAATTTTGAGAACGGCTAAATCGTGACATCTGGCAACCCTGATCAGAGCACCCAATTGGGAAATAACAGTAACTAAAGTTAAAAATAGTAAAACCCACCTTTATTTGAAGATATTAATAATAGTATTCGTTTTAGAAAATAATGAATTATTTTTTTCCGGCTCACTGATCAACTAGGTAAACTTTTTTTAAAACAGTTTGCACATGTCATCGAATTTTTGATTGGTCGGCTTTTCATTTAATTAGCTTATGACTTATCAATATATATTTTGAATAATTTCCTGACCGTAGCTCCTGAAGCATTAATTTTTTTTACTTGCAAAGAAAGATTATATTAAGGCAAAAAAAATTATGATGTACAATCTAAATCTAAAAAATTTGTTAACCCTAATCATAATATATGTGTATATCAGAGACCTGCAGGCCCGGCCAAGCCCAGCCCGGGTACCAGGGCTGGGCCGTATTTTAAATTTTAAAATATACCCAGACCGGGCCAAGCCTGAAAATTTTTTTAAAAAAAAATACCCAGGCTGGGCCGTATTTTTTTTAAAAATTTATGCAACATGAATTATTATATTCGTCAATTAGATATGGTTATAATGATTATTTTATGATTAATATAATGTTTGGTGAAAGTTAACACTCATAGTATCTATTACATAAAATTATAGTTTTCCTGCCATGGAATAAATACGCAAAGGATTAAATACATTATTATATAATATATGTTATATTTTTTATTAATTAAAATATCAGTTTTATTTTTTATAAATACAATTAATATAGTATATTCTCAAAATATTATTTACACAAATTTTTTAGAGTATCAATCTGTAATATACTAAATATCTGTTTAGAATTTTAAAAAAATATTAGTGTTGTTAAATGGCTCGTTTTGAGCCGATTTTTTAAAACGGCTAACAAAAATATTATACAAGCCTGAAAATTTTGCTCATAGAATGAGCAAAGGTCTAGACATATAGTATCTAAATTTCGAGGCTTAGACAATATTTTTCTGGCGAAAATATTGAGTTAGCCGTTTTTAAAAATCGGTTCAAAACAAGCCGTTTAACAACATTAGCTAATATGCTTGCTTATTAAATGATAATACTCGCCGAAAAATATAATAAAATACCAAATAGGTAAAAAAATTTTATATACCAGGTCGAATATAATAGTAAAAAATTTTTTTTTTAAAAATCCGGGCCGTGCAAATGGTACCTCTGCAGGTCTCTGGTTTATATGCTAGTTAGACAAGTGCTGACTTTACAGAGTTAAAAGGAGAATTTATGTTAAATTTTAAAAATGAGTAAAATTATTTGGTCAAAAATACTCATTCATTAATCATAAACGGTTATTGGTTTCTTTATTTGAATAGTAGTTGATATAATATATTATCAGGATTATAATAATTTTTTTCTAAGATAAAATTAATAAAGGTGAAAAATATAAAAATGGAATTTAGGAAAAGGGATAAGGGATTTAATAATATATAACAGTTAAACCCTGAAAAATATCTTTCCTAACATTGTTAATTAAAACAACATAAAAATCATTAATTAAGCTATTTATTATTATAATGATTAATAATATTATATCTATTAGCTCCCGAAACACTTATGAGAGCTCTCGAACTTCTCAATTATCTGGGTGCCTTAAACGACGAAGGAGACCTAACTGACCTTGGTTCTATAATGGCCGAATTCCCGCTAGACCCACAACTGGCTAAAATGCTCATTTCGAGCTGCGATCTCAATTGTTCTAACGAAGTCTTGTCCATTACTGCCATGCTTTCAGGTTTTTACATTATCTTGGAATCATTTTCTAATATAATTATTTACAATTTTTCATTGGTTCATATATTTTTTAAAGAGTTGTTCCTTTAATCCTAGATTTTTTCTCTTCATTTTTAGCTTTTTTTAAAAAAAATCTTCATTTTATATTAAAGATAATTTTATAAATTCAGGCCCATAGCCAGCAAATCCCAGTTGGGGAGCCAACTGTTCATTTGGGAGGGCCAATATTTTTTTGAAATAAAACATTTTCCTATTTTTTTTGAAAATTTGTAAATATAAATATATAAAATAATACCAAAATATAATAAGATTTTTAAATTTTAACATAAATGAATTAAATGATAAATTTTGGGCTATTTTTTTCATATGTCATTAAAACAAATGTTGTTTTCTTCTAAATTTCTAAATAATTGGAAATACTCAAAAATAAAAATAACGACGAATAACCTACGTTACTCAAATATTATAAGTGAAAATAAATAATTATGATGTAAGGTATCTGTTTTAATACTTCCCGGCCTAGTTCAGTTAAACTTCCCTAGGAATATTGGTACTTTAAAAGAATATTCGTCCTCTCAATATTTTTAAATATAGTATTAATACTTGACATATATTGGGCTAATTCATTTAGGAATCATCGTGATAAGCAGAAAGTAGTTTGTATCTATCATTTATATTTATTGGTTAATAAATTAAATCTCGCTAACATATACTGGCACACCATGCTCAAGTAGAGGTTGAGAAAAATTATCACAGGAACTGACGAATTCAATTATTTCTTTTTATCGAAGAATATAAAAAGCGGTATTGTTTGCTGTTTTTTCATTTAATGGCTAATGAGTTAGTGGATATTTTCCAGCTAATATTTTTAAAAGTATTTTCTTGTTTACCCAATTAAATAACTGAAAATTTTCTAAGAATTTTGTTTTTTCATTTAGATTTGATTGATAATGGCGAATTAAAATTCAACAACTAATATTTTTTTTAATTTTGGGGCCTGAAATTTTTTATCGAGGGGCCTGGTTTTGGAGACAAAAATTTTTTGGAAGGTTACCCTCAGTGGGCTACGGTCCAGTTTATATTAGATATTAAATGATTTCATATTAGCGGAAAACCGAACCATAAAATGTCTAATTGGTATATTTTCCTTGGCTGATTTTTTTTTGAAACCTGGTCTTAATTTTTTTATATATACCCGGATTGAATAATACGGGCTGGGCCGAGCACCTCTTCAGGTCTTTGGTATTTATATTTTTTTAAAAAATTTGTACAATCCTGCAAACTATATTATAATATTTTCTTCTATATCCCTTATTTAAATCCTTAAAAAGTACCCCAATGTTTTGTCCGGCCTGTTGATATGAGGAAAGCCGCCGACGAAGCTAAAATGAATTTCGCGCACATAGATGGTGATCATCTATCCTTACTCAACGTTTATCATGCCTTTAAACAAAGTTTTTTTTACCAGATAGAAAAATAATTTTTTTTCATATTCTATTGATTATTATCCTTATTTTTTTAAAATAGCTTTTCTTGTCTCTAAATATCTAGACCAAACCTCATTCCATCTTTATTAACAATTTAATTTATTATTTCCATGATATAGGTTCATTTTTCTTTTCTCCATGACTTTTTATCTGATTTTTGATACCTTTAGTTTTTTCGTTATTTTCTCTTTATATACTCTGGTAAAACAATACCTCTTTTACTTAATACATATGGAAAAACGGTTCTTTATTTGATCAACAGATTTTAAATGACGTAGCTTCTATTTTCTGTTTCGTCTTTATTTTATATAGGGAAAATTCGATATATGTTTACGTTAAAACCATCTTACAAAATGTAAAAGTTTTCCATCATTCATAACAAATAAATATTTTATCAGGCTATAGGCGCATTTTATAATTTAACATCAAGTCGGGTTTTTTCTGGAGAATTACATTTTATCATTCATACCATTTTATTTATGTTTTTCGCTTTATACCTTTTTTTCTTACCATTCTGACTTTCATTTTAAGTTGTTATAATATACCGATTTTATCAAATTGGCTCAATCTTTAAATTTTCTCATACAATATATTTATAATAGTGGATAAAAAATATTTATGGTATATTATTTTTTTAAGAATATATTATTTTTGTTCTTTTATCTCATTAATCTATATAGATAACGAAGACGTCCAATGGTGTTACGACCATTTTATAAATTATCGATCCCTGAAGAGTGCCGACAATGTCCGAGTACAACTCGCCCGCATTATGGACCGATTCAACCTTCGAAGGGTTAGTACTGACTTCAATTCAAGAGAATACTATTCTAATATACGAAAGGCCATGGTATCGGGATTTTTCATGCAGGTATGCATAAGGCCTTCTTTCACTTTTTTTTACCCTGCATATTTTTGCCTACAACTTTTTGTTGCTATTTCATGGTATCGTATATAAATTTAAATTATTGCCATTTAATACATTAATTATATTGAAGTTTATAGTAGAAGGTAGTGATCTGCATTGGGTCTAATTTTTTAAGCCTGGCCCAGCCCGAACCCGAAATTTTTTTAAAAAAATTTTGGCGGTCTGGCCTGAATTTATTTAAATATAGAAATGAATTTTTATAATAACTCAAAATAAACGATATATGTTATTTGGCGTCTACTTTCTATAAATAAAATCACATATTTTTATTTTACATAAAAAATTCAACATAAAATTAATAAATTTAGATATATTTAAAAAAATTCTAAGGCCCTACCCTGCCCGAATTTTCTTAAAAATTATACTTTTGCAGATCTCTAGTAGAAGGCATAACCCTATTTTTAAAAATTTAATTAATTTTCACCCTTTAAAATCACAAATAAGAAAAAAAAAGTTATTAATCACGCCATTATTGTGATGTATTATTTATTCACTTTAATTTATAACAGGTTGCCCACCTGGAAAGGACAGGTCATTATTTAACTGTCAAGGATAATCAAGTTGTTCAAATACACCCTTCCACTTGCTTGGACCACAAACCAGAATGGCTTCTTTACAACGAATTCGTGCTTACCACTAAAAATTACATTAGAACTGTGACCGATATTAGACCCGAATGGTTAGTTTTTTTCTGAAAAAATTTATATTAACATGTAATTTAAAATTAACAACCATAAAATTTGAATAAAAAAGTAATTTTTACATACTTTTAGGTTTCCTTGTTTTGGAAAAAAATTCATTTTATCACTAATTATCATATGAATAAAAGTTACAATTTGAAAAATATAGTCTTTTATTTTAAATCCTTAAATATCTCATTTTATAGAATAAAATAGAACAAGAAATAAATATATTAAATTTTATATGACCTTTAAAGGTTTTCCACATTAATTGGATTAGATGATACGGATTTGATTATCTCCGATTTTTTTTTCTATTAAAAATTTTGATTTATATTTTTACGAATAAGGTTATTAAAATACGCCACGACATATTACGATTTAGATAATTTCCCTTCTTGCGAAGCTAAAAGGCAGCTCGAAATTATCAAAGGTAAACTCGATTCCAAACAGTTTCAAGAAGGATTTTAAAACTACCTTTTTTATATCAAAATTTTACATTATATAAATACAATTCCGTGAATAAATTCTGTTGGATTGCAAAATATTATAAGGTCGTTCCCATTAATGTTTTATGTATGCTTGTGAAATTTTCTGAGATGTTTAGTAGAATTAAATATTACTATTAAAAATTAGACCTTCAACTTGAAATAAGGTTGTAGTTGTATATTTTAGTTTATACTTTTTGTAGACAAATTATTATTTATAATTACGATATACTACATTATTTTATTTAGTTTTTTCGTAAATTTATAAATATTGTCTAAATAAAGAATTTTGAAAATATTTTATTTTTATAATTAACCAAAATGTATTTCGTTATAGCTAAAATAATAGATTTCGTTACGATCTTTTACATTTAAAAATTGTAAATAATTATTATAGTATTTAAGATATAAATTAAATAGATCATTTAATTTAGGAAATAAATGAGAACTTAAGTTGGAGCATTATTAATTAACATTGCAAAAGTAACTTTCAACGGGTTCTGACGGATTTTCTAAAAATTGGCCTAGGGGAAATAACTAGCAAAAAATTTTTTTAAATTTTATTTTACGTTGGGAATTGGTTTGAAAATATTTTTGCTATTAATTTGAATTTAATCAGTTATATCTAATGCTGTAAAGTAACTTCGTTACCTTTTTTTGAAGAAAAGGAACGCCATTCGTTACCTTTTTCTAGAGATAACGGTAACGCGTTTCTTTTTTTTGAGTAAAGGTAAGCCAAAACGTTACTCGTTACTTTAGATTTTTTCTTAAAAAATATTTAAAAAAGAATAACATATTTTATTGTACTATAAAATTACTTTTATTTATTTTTTGATATTAATAATTTTAGTCTAGTTTTTTATTCGTATCAATCACCATTGCTTCATTTTTATTTTAAATTCTCGTTAAATCAGTCGAGCGTTATTAATATTCAATCAAAATTCGAAGTAATTGTTAATATTATTCTATTTTATAATTTATTTTAAGAATATTATGTCCTCAGTACATACTTCTCCAGATGATTTAACCCTTCCCTGGACCCAATTTGAAACATATTTTACACCAATAAAGAAATTTAAGGGTACAAAGTCTACACTTTGTAAATGTAAATTAGTCCTTAACGCAAATATTTCAACTTCAGTATCGTGTTCTTTCATAATATTTTGAAAAGTTAAATCATGATATTAAATTATACTATATACGAATAGGAACCAACATTAAAAACCCTAGATTAACAAAATATTGGTATTGGTTCAAAATATTATATTGGGTTTAAACAATATCATCTGTTTCATGTTTTAGTATTGCTATTTGGTTTAACTTCAAATTGATAATAAATTTAAAGAATAAAATAGTGACTTTAAAAAGCTGTTTAAATAAATATATGAAGCAATATTGTCTTAGAGAACTGAATATAGATATTTTTCCTGATTCCTTTTTAAATGATAATTCTGAAAAAGATAAGAAATTGAAAAATTATCTTTGGTAATCATAATTTCAATTTTTAATGTTTTCCTTGACAATAAGCTTAGTGATGGAAAAAAATGCAATTAAATTTATAAAAGATTTATCTTCAATTATTGAAAAAGCTAAGATATTTTTAATAAAAAATTTAGGAATTAATAATATATTAATTAAAAAATTATAGACTGTAAATTCCTCAAAAATGAAAGAGATTAATGAACATTTGAATAGTAATAAAAATAAATTGAAGCCAATTTACTCACACTCATTGAGATGCAGAATCCATTTACATCAAAAATAACACAATCAGCTGTTGATGAATTAGTTTTTGATTTTGTAATTGAAGAATTACAACCTTTTTCAATTGTAGAAAACACCAACATTTATTAATATTATCCAAAAATTGATGTCTAGGCCTACCTTCATATTAAAAATTAACAAAGCATGACAAAGAAATTAGTGGATTTATTGTGTATCCCAAAATTAACTGTACAACTATGGATTCTTGGTCACCTTATCGGTATATAAAATATATATTTTATAGATTGATAATATTGTCTTTTAAATGGATGACGGTACACTGGCTATACCCAGACACTCTTGAGAGGGTTTCAGCCTGCTTAGCTTGTATAAGGCTAAACAAAAACACATTTTATTAGCTAGCAAAAATAATCTTTGAAATTTTTAACACATATAAGATACAAAATAAAGTGACCAAATGCATTACCGACAATGATAGAAATTATATAAAGGCTTAAGTAACTAATTATAATAAATGTAGGGATTGGGGAAGGTTCGAATTGTAGGAATTGGGTTCGATTTGATAGAATAGAATTAACAAGGCTGGTAGTAATTTAATTTTTATAACGAATGCAAAATAAATATTATTAGCGAATAAAAATAAGTTTTATAGTATCACAGTCAAAAAATAATTGTATCAAAAAGTATATTGTATGTTTTTATATATAAAATATCGCCTCAGAAGTAAAAATATAAACATTTAAATCTAATTTATCACAATATATTTATTAAAAATTTATTAGTGTATATGAACAAGGAGAGAAAACGGATGATAAAATAGTTCCTCTGCCATTATTTGATCTATTTGAAAATCAAAATAATAATGATAGTATTGTATACTTATAAGCATCATTTGTTCATCACACACTTTAAATCTCATTGCAAGTGTTGACACTTAAAAGGCACATAACGATGTCCATTTTAAAATTATTTCAAAAATTACATTTTCTAAATAAGATATTGTGGAATAAACATGGGCAATCTTCAAACTGTGCACCATTTTTAAGGAACATGGAAAGATATCTGATTAAACCGGTTATAGATCTTGATAAAGAAAGAGTAGACTTAATTTCTTTATTCAACACACATATCAAAATATTTTATGATAAAGATAAATTATTTTTTGATGAGGAAATGAATGAAATCCTTGTGAAGATGATCTATTTTTCAAAAAAAAATAATTCTTTAAATATTTTCAATAAATTCTATTTGTCTGATTAAAATTTTTAAAATCAATGCTAAAAATTGTTACAAAAAGATGCTATCTTATATATAATATATTATTTCTGTATAATTTTATTTATAATATAATTATATATGAATTTTTTTATATAAAAAGATCTTATATATATTCTTTTTGTATAGTTTTATTTAAAAGTTTTTAAAAAATATAGGGGATAAGACAAGAGCCCTTACATCAGAACCTAAAGAATTTTATTTTTTAAAACAAAACCTTCAAATCACAATTTTAAAATATAATTACGCATGTTTTTTGGGAACTTGTAGTCCCACCTCCGTTTTTATATAATATTGCTTTATTTTATTTTATATTTGATGTGAGAAAACTATATTGAATACAAATATATTATATTATAGAAAAAAATATATATATTTTTTGTATAAATTTTTAAATAATGAGTAACCCTTTACTTTTTTGAATTGTCAGTAATGCGCGTTCATTTTTAAAAAGTTAACGAGTAACAGTAACACATTCCTTTTTTCAGCAGTAATGGGTAACACATTTCTTTTTTGTAGTAACGTTTACAGCACTAGTTATATTAAATAAATCATGGTCATGATATATTATTTTATTCATTATTTAAATATAAGCAGAACCTACTGGTTCTAATAAAAGTTAAGTTATTTTAAAATGTGTATTCATTTTAGTGGGTTTATTTATCTATTAAATTTTTTTAAGATTCCTTTAACAAAATTTGAAACCAAATTTAAAAACACACCCACTCATTTTCAAATTTTAGGAACCAGAACACTTTTTTGTTCAAGTTCCAAAATCTAGTTAATAAATTTTAAGGGCAAATTTTTTGAATTTGGGTCTAATTTTATGTTTTCAGATTGGGTATTCATTAAATTGGAATATAATATTGAATATAAACCATTCGTTTTAGATATGAAGAACTTTAACTAAGCCAATTTTTAAAAATTTAGTTATCCATATAAAATATTTCTATTAGTTTTTCATTTGACAATTTTAAAAAAAATCTCATTTCATTGGTAGAATTTAATAACTGAAAAGCCAAATTTTTAATTAAATAATACCTAGATTTATGGCTCTTACATGATTTTTGATCCAAGTTTTTTGAAAAATAGACCAAGCCAATTGTCATTTAAATTTTAATCAAATAACCAAAAATCTTTAAAAAAAAAATTATATAATTGATCAAAAATTAACAAAACAAACTGCATTTCTTTATTTTATTTTTAAATATCTTTTGTATATTTATAGATTTATAAATAATTCTTGTTAACAGGTTCTTAGGAGACCCCGAAAATGGATATAAATTTAGGGCAGGGTCACATGAGGCATATATATTTTTTAATTTAATCATGGATTAATATTTCCTCCATATATTTCAGATATATGGGAAATACACTTTTCAAATTTAATAAATGGAAGAACAAAAAATCTTGCAATATTCATTATGTCATTGTCATTTTGTAGGAGTTTAGCATCTACTAAGTTATCTGTTGGTAAGGTGCCAGACTTTATGGTAACAGGTATGTCCAAATGAATCAAGCTTTCCTTCAAATAAACATCAATAGTGTTAAAAAAATGTAATACTACATTTTAAAAAATAATTAATAGATTTATTTAACTAAAAAAAATTCAAACAATAGATGTTAAATCTGAACACATTTGATTATAATAAAAATAATAAAATGATTCATTAATATAAATATTTTATTTTTTGTTAACTTCAAATAGAATTTCCATTTCAGGGCACATCCAGGCAATTTCTGTTGATTTTTTCATTCTTTGTACCATTCTTTTAAGTTTTTTGTGTTTTTTAGTCTTAGTTGTTTTAATGTCATTGTTATAATTATTATCATTTTCTACTTCACCCAAGTCAGAAGAAATTTGTACTACCCTGGTAAGACACAATACATAATCACATAATCTCCCATCAATACTATAGGTTTTTGGATTTTCATTTAGTTCAGACCTATAAATATTTTAAATTTAATTATTATATATGTAATCCTAACAAAATATTTTCAAATATCTGGGGTGAAATTTGAGGTGGTATATCACAAATTCTTTCATCAAGCAAGAATCCTATGTTATATTTGGGTGCAGATATATTATCAGAGGAAAATATATCTGAAAATAATATCTTGTTGCCTTTAATGGAATTTTTATGATGATTTTCAAAATCAATCAAAAACTTCTTCATTGACTCTAATATAGAACCTTTATTCTCAAGTGTAACATAATTCTAGGAAAAATGAGGTTAGTAAATAACATAATTTTAGCACCTGATTTAAATTTAAGAATGCAACCAAGCCAAAAATAAAGGCATCATCATTTTCATTATCTTTTTCAACTTCTTGTGCTTGCTATTAAATATTATTTAAGATAAAAAATAAATAAAATACCTTGATTAACAAAGTAAATTTGCCATAATTTGTTATCAAATCTGCTAAATCATCTGAGCTCAGATTATGAGGCAATACCTAAACTTACTCGATAATTTGTTAATCTTAATTAATAACTTGTCTGACATTGTTTAAAATTCCATCAAAATCTGTAGGCGTCGGTTCAAATATATCAAAATCTACTTCAATCTATGATTGTCATATAATAAAGTGAAATATCATTGTCACTAACTTTTGCAAAATCTGTATTTATAATCTCCATAAAGGAATGAATGAATAATTTAAACCTATATCATTTTTTTAAAAGGCTTGAGATAAACTGGCCCATTGACAAAATATGTCATTGAACTGGCCGTACTAATCCTACCATAAAAATAAATCACATTTACTACGACGTTATAAAACTTTGACGAGATTAGAATAATCTAGGACCAAATAATGATTAATATTTATTTGAAATTAAAGTTTTCTAAAAATATATGAATGTTACGAGTTCAATTTTATTTAATTTAGAATGAATCAAAGTTATGAGTTTAATTTAATTTATTTTAATTTTAAAACTAAAATATCATGCTTATATAACAATTTACATATTAATATAATAATTTATATAAAAAGAATCAATCTTCATAATTTATAAAAAAAAATTAATTTATATATACATTAAAAAAAACAATTTAAAGGTTAATATTAATCGGTCATATCAACATTCCACCCTTTAAAAAATGATCTCCACTCAGGTTTTTCTTGCATGTGAATCTTATCGTGCAGTCAACGTTTCTTGATAGTTTTATTGTCATCATTAGTATATTTCATTAGCGTCTACATGACAAGATTTTTATTGGATGCAAACCCCTTTCAAAAACCTTGCCTACCCCCCTAAAAAATTCTATTCACCTATTTATTTATAGATACTCTTTTCAAAGAATTTATAATTTAAATTAATCTATCTCTACTACCAACTATTGATATTTTGTGAATATGAAGAATTTATTTTTTAGATAATAAATTCAATTAAAACCTCCATTATTTACAATGAATTAATTTTTATGGCATTATGAGCTTGCTGAAATATCTAAACCTTTTAAATTACATTTAAAAGGATAGTTCAATGTGTATGATTGTTTTCAATATATAGATTTGGTCGATGAATTGTATTATAATAATACTATAATAAAAGTATTAATTTTTACAGCATTAAATTTTGTCCTATTTTATCTCAAAATTTAATAGATAACCCGTCAAAAAATCTATCCTAACCCCATTAAAGCAGTTTACCCCCTACCCCCTCAAAAAAATAGGATGCAAACTGTTCCTACCCCTCCCGCTCATGTAGACGCTGTATTTCATTAACTTTTGCTATTGAAAGTTTATTTAAAAGAAAAATATTTTATTATATATATATATATATATATTTTTAGTCTTTATTTCATTATAAAATTATCTAATTTTTTGGGCAAAATTATATTCCTGCTTGGTCTTTGACTAACAAGACTCTGTTCTTGTATTCCTAAATTTTGATCTTTATTTCTTCTAAAACTTACAGTAATATTGCATTTTCAGTATTTGTTTTCAAATGTGTCGTTTCATCAAGAGGTGTGCTACTCGTAGACCTTTTTTTTAATTTGGTCTAAATGTCTTTTAATAATTTTGTCTCCTGTATCCACTTCAAATATTAAATTCCCATTTTTACGTTTTACCGTGCCTTTGTCCCATATATTATCCTTGAAGGTTTTATACCAAACTTTGTCACCATTCATGATATTTCTATTTGACGATAAATTGCGATTAAATTCATTCACTTTATCTTCTTGCGGTTTGATTAAATCTCATCTGGTTCTTATGGTTCTGTTGAACATCACTTCGCTTGGTATCTTGTTGGTTGTCGCATTTGGTTTTTTGCGATAATTAAATAAAAAAAATACTAAAGCCATATCTAAGTCTATTTTATTATTACTTTCCATATTCCTTTTCATGCATATTTTCATTGATCTTATCATTCGCTCACACTGACCATTGGATTGTTGGTGGTGAGGCGCGGTGAGAATGTGATCAATTCCATGATCACTACAAAATTTTTTTGAACACGCTACTTGTAAAATTTGTACCATTATCGACTATCATATCGGGTATACCAAACAAACTGATTATTTTTAAAATTCTTTAATTGTAGACTTAGTAATTATATCTCTCATTTTTCTAATGATAGGTAACTTGCTAAGTGCGTCAACACATACCAAGAAATTGCTACCTTCAAACTGTGCAAAGTTGATGTGCACGCGTTCAAACACTTTTACAGCTGTTTTCTATGGATTTTGTACATTATGAGGATTGTCCACATATTTATTACATGTATCACAGTTTTTCACCTCCTAATCTATTTCAGTGTTTAGACCAGGCCACCACAAATAATCTCTCGCCAACAATTTCGTTTTCCAAGCACCAAGATGCCCTTTGTGTAATTCCTGTAATATCTCCTTTCTTATATTCTTCGGTATAATGATCCTATTCTCTTTAAAAAGACAATCTTTAATTAAGCTAGTTCCATTTCCATATTTTTATATATTTTATTCTTTATTCTTTATCTGTTCATGATTCTTTATATTATTAATTACCTCTCTTGAACTATTCTTTTAAAATTTATTGGTAAGTCCCAAAATTTGTCATCAATTATTTCATCATCTATCTCTTGTACCATTTCTTCTGCGTTCAATTGGGGTCCGGTACTACATTTCGTTTCCCGGGTCTATGTATTATCGTAATGTCATAGGCTCCCATAGCCAAACTCCATTTTTGAAGTCGCATTGATATGGATGAATTATCTTTAAGTCCCTTCTTAAATATATAAACGAGTCGCTTGTGATCTGTGATTATTGTAAATCTCCAATTAAATATTTTTGAAACTTTTTTACCACGTATATAACAGATAAAGCTTCCCTCTCTATATTAGTGTAATTAAACTCTGATTTTAATAAAGCTCTTGACGCGAAAGCAATGGGTTTCTCTTTGCCATCACCTTCAATATGAAATAAGACTGCGCCTAGACCTTTCTTTGAAGCATCAGTTGCAATGCCTATTGGTAGATCCGGATTATAAAAATTTAACGTAGGCGGAGTACTTACCAGTTTTTTTAAGTTGTCGAAGCTTTTTGATGTGCACTATCCCATAACCATTTGTCTTTATTAACCATTTTGTATAAAGGATCAGCTATGTCCGCAAAATTACATAAAAATTTTCGAAAACAGCTTGCCATCCCCAAAAAAGTTGCCAATTCATCTTTTGTCTTCGGTTCCGGCATGTTAGAAATAGCTTTTATCTTATCATCGTTGGGATGTATACCATGTTTGTCTATATCATGTCCCAAAAAGCTTGCAGGAATAAACTTTTGTCGAAATTAGGGGTTAATCCATACTTGATGATCTTTTCGAATACTTTTTTAATGTTCTTCTAATGTATCTCATCGTTATCATCTGTAATTAGTCGTCAATGTAAAATATAACATCTTTTAAATCTCCCAAAATGTTATCCAGTTTGTTGGAATATTGCCGACGAAGTTTTTAAACCAAACGGCAGTCTCGTAAACCTATAATAACCCTTAGGTGTCGATATTGTAAGAAAATCTCTTGATTCTTTGTGTATAGGTATTTGGAGAAACGCGTTTTTTAAAATCTATCTTGGTAAATTTCTTACCTTTAGATAATTTTGCGATTAAATCATTAATGCGTGGTATAGGGTACTTGAAATCTTGTAAAGCAGGGTTGATAGTATTTTTGAAGTCGGCACAGAGCCTAAGTGAGCCATCGCTCTTATAAACGGGAGTGAGAGGACTAGCCCATCTAACGTCTTCAACAGGTTCAATAATTTTATCGTTTATCCACTTTTAAAGTTCTTTTGTTATCAAATCAATTCTAGAATATGGTATACGCCTTGGCGGTATGATTTTCGGTGTGGCATAGTTTTAAACGTAATTTGACATAGCTGCGAAGCATTGGTTTTTCGTTAAGTTTAAAATTGCATTGCTTAATTAATTCTTGTATAGTATTACCATAATCATCCTCAACCATATTCACAAATTTATCTAGATTCCCAAAAACTGTTATCCAGGTCCTTCTTAACAGTGCAATCTTATCACTCTGGACTACATAAGCAGTTAAGATTTGATGACTTTGGTAGTTCCTAATACATTTATTGTGTTTCCATCATATCCAGTTAATTTAATATCTAATTTATTTAAGATTTTAACTCCAATCTTTTTCGCGATATGTATCGGTAGGATACTATACCTTGAACCGGTGTCGATCTGCATCAAAATAGGCATGTCGTTCAAATATACTGAAACCTTATATACATCGTTAGCTGTATAATTATTTTCGGTATCCATATTGTTTATGTCTAAATTGTATAAATTATATTCTTTTCTTTCTAGTTTGTCATTATCATCTTCTTTTATCTCTTCTATATTTACAGTGTTTACTTTATTTGTATATCGTGATTGATTATTATCGTTGTTATGATATTTACAATTGCATACTTGATTTCTTCCTTGATTTCCAATATTATGATTAACGTTATATCTTTGAATAAATCTTGAACGTTGTAATGTCTGTTATATCTGTAATTATAATCATTATTAAACCTATAATTAATATAGTTATTGTCATTATAACTAGCTCTATTATCAAATCTCGAAGAATTATTGTACGATCCTGGATAGTTTGCTCTGACGATGTTGTAATAATTCGCGTTATAATTCTGATATCTAGGGTTGTAATTATTTCCTTGATATCTGGGCTTATAATTATTTCCTTTATAATTATTTCTTTGAAAGTCATGGCCTCTTGTTGTCCATCGTTGTCTGTTACCGTAATTAGATTGTAAATTTTGTCGTTCGTCATGGTCTCCATATCTCACCAATTGTTTATTTTCTTCTGTTTTCCTGCCTCTTTGCCTTTCTACATGTTTCACGGTTGTATCATCTTCTCTTCTTTCGTTTAAAGAAATATTTTCAACTTTAGCAATTAAATTTTCTTTCAATTCTAACTTTTCAAAATCATCTTTTAAAGTAAGAACTTCTGCTAATGTAATGTTTTCTTTTAACGTAATTTTCTGCCTAATATTTTGATGAAATTTTTACTTTTTCAATAACTCTACTATCACTTAGCAAACATTCATTTTTTAAAATGCATAATCTACTTACCCAATTGATGTAACTTTCGTTCTTACCTTGTACAGCTGCGTTAAATAATAATAAGTTGGAACTTGTAGATTACCTCGGGTGTAATACCCAAAA